GCTGCCACCTCTTCCTTTTTTTCCTTCCTCCTTTCTCCTGAATTGCCGTAGGATAGCACTCACCTAGAGTATCCTTGCTTTTTCATACAGATAACTCTCACCGTTTCTGCTCTGTTCTGGATGTGGCCCCGTTCCTCGGGGAACCCAGCGCCCCACTCTCGCTCTGGATTCCATTTGGGTCAGCCTGGCTGATCCCCAAGGCATTAAGATGGGGGAGGGACACAAAGCAACTTCCATATTCTCATCCACCCCCACCTGGAATTAAAATGTTAAGCTGCTGGATGCCTCATGCCACCCTGCATTTGTGTCATTGACAAGAGCGGCTGCTGTCCCTAAGAAGGAGCCTTGGGGGCGTGATGTGGGGAATAGCTATCCTAGGCTCCCCTTCCTCTGACTTACATAATCAAAGCCACTTTTGTGCGTGTCTATTTTTTTCTTGACATTTAAACTCTGCAGATATGAGTCTGTCAGGGTGGTGGGCTGTAGAGTTTCCTCTGAGTGGTCATTCTAGCCTCATTTCTCCAGCGGAGAGAGGTCATCTAAGTTCTTTACTTCTCGCGTCTTAAACCACCCTGCCTGGGATGTTTATTCTGTTTAGGTCCCTTCCTTTGGAATAGAATAGGAAGGTTGAGAGACCATTAAAGCGACTCCTGATACGTATTCTCTACCCTCTTACCAGTGCTGCACATCGGTGCATCCAGTGGACCCAAATACATTATGGCTAAAATTAACTCACAGAAAAACACATTCTGCTTAGTGTTCTCAGCAGTTTTACCGTCTCTTTAAAAAAAAAAAAAAACTCATATACTTGAGCCCTGTGACCATTTGCCTGCCAACATGTGCTAGTGTAATATAAAACAGGTTATAAATTATTGGAAAAATTGAGGGCTAGCAGGTGGCATGGTGGTTAAGGCACTGGGCTCCCACATGGCTGACTCTGGTTTGAGTCCCGGGCCTGGCAACTTGCTTTCTCACTTTCCTTTTCTCTCTCTGTCTCTCTGGTCAAATTGAAAAACAATAATAACAAATGGAATCAAATGAGTAAATAATTCTTTTAAAAAAAAAAAAACCTTTACACATATTTCAAATAATGTGCATATGGGGATAAAAACTTGCATACATAAATTTATATTAGTAAAATTGTGTCTGATTTATATCGCAGAATTAAATATCAACATTTTAGAAGCTCCTATTTCAGTTTACACACCAAAGATCAGTCTGTATAGTGTAGCTATCAGTTGTACACATCGAAGTACTTAGGTGTTCACTTCATAATGCAGTGTCTCAGCAGAATATACATTTAACTTTTTTTTCCCGAACAGCTCTAGCTAGGTACAGAAGTAGTTCCCTAATTTGAATCTTTAGGTCTCACAGCAAATTGTGGGTTTTCTCCATCCATACTGTTTTTTTCTTTCCTTTTTCTTTTTTTAAAGAATTGTTTATTTAATTCCTTTCTTCTTCCCTTTAAAAAAAAAAAAAGATTTATTTATTTATTTTTCACATGAGTTTTATCAGAGAGAGAGAGAGGGAGAGAGTGAAAAAGCAAGCCACCAGGTCCAGGACTTAAACCAGTCAGCCGTGTGGGAATTCCAGCGCCTTAACCACCACACCACCTGCTGGCCCCTTCATTTGTTATTATTATTTTTAATTTGACCAGAGAGAGAGAGAGAGAGAAAGGGAAAGGGAGAAAACAAACCACCATGTCTGGGACTCAAACTATGGTCGGCCATGTAGGAATCCGGTGCTTTAAACCACTATGCAACCTGCTGGCCCCATATCCACACCATTTCCTCCTGCCACATAGCTTTTGTGATTAAGGTATAAATTAATTAATTTAGCTTACACTTATAGGCATCTTCTAGGGATAGAGTGTGAAGGTGAAGACAGAAATAGAGACAGAGGCACCATTCCTACTCTCAGGTCACTCAGAATCTGGTAGGAGAAAGAACATGCATAAAGCTAAAGATACTGTGTGAGGAGTGCCATAATTAAGTGTCATGAAAGCTCAGGTGGAAAGAGATGGATTCCAATGGGGATGATTAGGAAAGACTCATGAAAGAAGACATAGAGTAGGTACTTAATAAACGTGATAAAACTTGCCTCTTTATTTTCATTGGATTCCAAAAGATTGGTTGATTAACAAGCAGAGTTGGGTTGAGGATAATGGATATTGAGGGGAAGAAAGATAATAAAGGCATAGGTAGAGAAGAGAGGGATTCAGTAGCTACTAAGGTAGGCTCAGGTAGAGTAGGGTCAGGTGTATACTAAAATCAGGCTGGAGATTCTGCCTTTATTTGGTAAGTGGTGGGGGTACTAGAGATTTTGAACAGCCCCGTGTTAATGATCTGAGTAGAATTTAAAAAGGAGTTGGTTTGATAACTAAGTTAAGAATATTAGGGGACCAGCAGATGGCATAATGGCTATGTCACTAGACTCCCACATAGTCGACTGTAAATTCGAGTCCTGGACCCGGCAGCTTAAAACTCACTCAGAGCACTTGTGCCCAAAATCCTGAGAGAAGAATGAATGAGAAACAAACGATTGTGGTGTGATCACCCCCCCAGGGGGTGATTTCTTGCTTCCCATCTCTGTGTCTCTGGCAAACGAACACATGCTATGGCAAAAATCTCTCTTAAAAAAAAAGAATATTGGAAAGGGATATTAAGATTTGGTCAATTAAACTCCACTAAATTAAAAAAAGAATATTAGAATGAGAGCACATGAGCAAAATGATTCACTAAGACAGTGATTGTCAAATTTCCGTCCTTTGTATACCTTTTTTGATGATTTTTGCCATATTTCCATTCTGCCTTTGTTATTTTCTTTGGAGCTACTCTCATTTATTTATATATCTATATGTCTTTCTAAAGTTTATTCATTTATTCCATGAGTGAGTGACAGAGAAAGATAGAGACAGATACAGCACTCCTGGCAGGATCCTAACATGATCCACCTGTAGCTTCAGCCAGCCCAGATCATGGGCACATGCATGTCCTGCATCTCCAGAAGGTCTTCAGACACAAACCAACAGTCTTCCATGTAGATCTGTCTTACAGATCGTTGCATTTTACCAGTATTACCATTCAGTCCAATTCTTATTTTTAAATTTGTTTTATTTTTAACTCAACACAATTGTATTTTGAACTCAAAGGTGTGGTATGCTAGTGTCTT